TATATATATAAAACAAAAGAATAGGAAACGAATGCCATGTATAGACTTTAGAAACACTTTATTGGAGAAAACAAATATTTCGACATATTAGGTCTTTATCAAGGTACATGAAAAAAACTAGCAAAAAGTGGACACACATAACCACTGTAGTGGGAGGAGTTAAAGAATAAACAATGCGGATTATAATGAGAGTAATTAAAATCGGGTATACATTAATTATAATAAACTGTTTGTAATGAGAACGGAGATTAATAGTCGTTCCCACATTATGCAGACAGTATAATAAACAGATAGTATATAGGCCAAAATTCTAAATAAAAACAGGAAATAGTGAAACATAGCATATCATTTAGGCTACCAAGGACGCATGTATAAAATATGCAATATAATTAAAATATAAAGTCTATGGCGAGTTAAATAAATATAAAAGTCAAAATTAATCTATATTATGAAAAAGTAAAATGAAAAAGAACCTCACAATGTTATATATATATGTGTGTGTGGGTGTGTGTGTGGGTGTGCGTGTGTGTGTGTGTGTGGGTGTGTGTGTGTGTGTATGTATGTACTTTATATAGCCACCTAGGCCTATTTATTTTCACACTCAGCAGATTCCTCCCTTTTTTTTCTCTTATTTTTTATTTCTTTATTCTTTATACTGAGAAAACCTGTTCAGTAGCATATCTACTATTCTCCCACAGGGCACAGTACAAAAAGTCAACAATAACATTCACAATACATAAATACGAGCAACATACAAACACCATAAAAAAAAATACATTAACATCCAGATCATACATTTTTTTTAAATTGTTAAAATAATATAAGAGCAATACGAACATTTATAAGTATATTTAAATAAATACAGCAGCAAATATTGCTAGTTATTAAAATCATAATAATTATTATTATTATTATTATTATTGCTATTATTATTAAATTTATTATTATTATTATTATTATTATTATTATTATTATTATTATTATTATTATCATTATCATTATTATTCTTACCAGAATTAAAAGTTCGGTCCGACATTTGGGCAATGACAAATGTCCCAAAGAGCTGGCCTTAGTCCGATGGTTGTGAAGTCTACCTACAGAGGTAAAGATATCAGAATATGTACGTTGGAACACTGCCACTCGGGCATTTTCGTACCATGGACAATTCATGTTGAGATCTTCTATCCAGCAGTATAAAAGAAAGCAAATCAGACGAATCGCCAACAAAGGAAGCAGAGCATGAGGGGGAAGCAGAGCCTCTCGTCGGGGAGAGCTGCCCACCCCGTCGGGAAGGGCTGCCCCCCCCCCCTCCGTCGGGGAGAAAAAGCACAATTCGTAGGGGAGAAAAAATTATATGTATTTTCTACATATTAGTAGACTCTAAAATCGATTAAATAAGTCTTATTAAACATAATAAATAGGAGGGGCCCTAGAATGGATTCTTGAGCAACTCGTAGTGGACGAAAACCCGATTGATGAGGGCAGATTAAATGGTTTTCAGTTAGGTAGGCCTAAGAGTAGACTTGTTCATGTACACAGCGTTCACATATTATTTTCATTAAAGTTGGAATAATTGAGATGGGTCTATAATTCTCACATTTGTCTCTGGGTCCCTCTTTATGAAAGGGAATCAACTTACTTTGCTTCCATTCGGCTGGAACAAGACCAGAAGAGAGAGAAAAATTAAATAAGGCGGCAAGATGACCGGATATACAAGGAGCAACAGCTTTCAGAAGTTTCGCACTTATACAATCAAGACCAGTGGCTTTGCCAATGGACAATTTACAGAGAGAATTATAAACATTAAAATTAGTGATATTGCAAAAATTAAATGTACATGAAAGATCATTAAGATTTAATAAAATGTTAGAAAAATTGGACTCGTCAATAATTTCAGTATATATTTTCACCTATATTACAAAAGAAAGAATTAAATTCATTGGCTATGTCTATTTCGCTTGTGATCTGCACATTATTTTGATTTGTAACAGCATTAATAGAATTAGAAGATTTTTTAGCTGGTAGTAACGTTTTAGGTGTCTTCCACATTTGTTTAGTATCATCCTTATTTGTTGAGATAGTGTTATAGTATAGTAATACTTTTTTAAATATTTTCTTAGATTATTCAATGAGTTTCTTTTTATTTTATAAGAGCTCCAATCATTAGATTCCTTAGTTCGTTTTTGTTTTTGTTTTGCAAATTTAGCCACACGTCTTAGTGAAAGGTATTCCTGGTTTATACATGGGGGAAGGGAAGTAGTAACTCTGATGTTAATTATTGGCACATTGTTATTACAGATGTCCAAGGAAATTTGCTTGAAGAAATACAGGGCTTCCTCCACATCTTCCGCAATGTCTACCATGCCCAAGGGAGCATTAGTTAGTTCCTTTTTACTTTTTACGTTCACATATTATTTACATGTATATTTATTGGATTACCGCAAGACAATTTTGAGTTTATCTCTATTATATCATGATTTATACATACATATTAGACCTGTATTGAAAAAAAATTTGTAAATTCAAAAATTCGGCCAATTTCGGCCAAATATAGTTTGGCCGTGACTTTTCAAACGTTACGACCAGGCAAATTTTTATAAGGCCAGATTTGAGGATATCTGGCCGTCAAAAAGGCCAAATGGCAACCCTGTTCTGAGTCTACTACTAGGCCTATGCCTAGATTGCCTTCATCTAGGCCTCAGAGTTCCTCTTCGCCTTTCATATTTATTTTCTCTTTTGCATCAATGGTATCTACACGGCGGATCTTTTCCGGAACAAAATCTTCGTCATCGTCTGCAAAATCCATCGTCATTTCCTACCTTTCCAACAGCCTATTCCCCGCTAGTAAATTACACTATCATCGCACTTGCCTTGGAAAATCGGTTTGTGGTTGCCGAGACGTTTCAGTTGATTATAAATATTCATAATCGAACTCAGTGTAGTGTGACAGCTAATGAGTTCACATATGCATGAGGCGATTGAGACCGAGGAAGAAGAGACTACCTATGACAACGGCACTTTTGTGCTTACCCCCTCTATAACAGAATTCAACTTTCGACAAGACTAATTTGCTCTCTCAGCATTTCCTGGGATTTATTTTATTTTATTTATTTTTTTTTTTTTTTGTCTTTTGCTAGCATTTTCACTGACTTTCTCTTTCGTTGTTGTAATGACTTCATTAGTAAAGTAAATTAAATTAAATGAATTATTAGCTTTGATTTGTCGCAGAAGTCGATAGTTTCTATATTTACTAAAACGACGTGAAACCCAATCGATTAGGCCTCTAGAGGCCTATTCAATTCCTTTTAGAACTGTCCTTTATTGAGCTCTAAAGAATTTAGATCAAATTTGTAGAACCACAACACTTTTAAAGAATATTTCTCCATGTGAAAAACGTGTAAAAATGAGCGGTTACGCCCCTTTTTTCCCCCCAGTTTTTAAATATTGAAAAATTTCATTCACCGTTGCTCAGTTTTTCGTCAAACAACTTTTTTCTGTCTCAGAAAAATCAGTTCTACAACATATCAAAAAATGTTTTTCCTCCGGAGCCTGACTTTAAGTGTAATCCCTCCGATTTTTTTTTCCATACGTCCTGGTTTTAACTTCGCGTTACCACTTTATATATTCCTTCACGGTGACATACGATATTTTTACTGACAGAAAATAGTACCGACAATAAAATCAATAAATAAAAGGTGACAATATATGATTTAATCACAATAGTTATACGACATTGTTTGATGCCGATGATGATAAATGCCAATAGCAATAGACCGAATCGGCGGCTCGGGTCACGTGACTTCGTATTGAGTATTAGGGTTTGTTTACATCGCGAGACGACAGTGCATTGAATATGGCTTGGATTTGTTGTTGATGTAAGTCACATCATATTTGTTGCAAATGTTGGTTGGAATGCAAATTATAACTTGGTAAATCACTTAGAAGCGTTCCAAAATTAAATTTTCAAATCAGTTTGGTTTGGTAAGGCTCCAATGGATAGTAGGAATAAAGCCTGGAAGTTTTTCAAGGAAACGTGCGGTACCTTCACAACGTGTTGCTCCAGTTAGTGGAGTCGTTGCCGGCTAGTACTTTTTAGGCCTAGGCCTAAGTCAAGAATATTATTCATGCAAATACTATCGCAGAATGAAAAAAAAAACAAAAAAAAACGAATCTCCCCATTCGTTGCAAGAGTATGATTAAAAATGTTACAGTGATTTTAAATCCAAAATTAAATCATAGGATGTTTGTAGTTACTGCCGAGGATAATGATCATCATATGACATATTATTACGTACTGGCATTAGGATGTACCATACCAAGCAGGCCTTTTGTCACCAGTCTGTTTCACAAGTTTGGTTGAGCAATCAGTACCGTTAAAGGTTATTTTCTACTTTATTACTACGGTACTCGACTATACAGATATATAGTCGAGACATAACAACTCCCTCCCTGCTCTGGGCCCTGGTCTAGGCTTAAACTCACAGTGCAGCATAGGCCTAGACCTAACTGCATGTAGCTAGCGTACACTAGCAGCATTCCAGAGCCTAAATAAAATGCACGGAGATTTACCAAAGTAATTATAAATCATTATTTTAAAAGAAACGTAGGCCTATTGGCTTACTTTACTTTGGGTCGCTGTCTAAAAAGCATAATAACTCTCTCAATATACTGTGTTCAATGAGCGTACTGGTTTACGATCTGTATGTTTATATTTTGTACCACTAGCGTCGCCGATTCGGTCTATTATGACGACCATCGTGTGAAAGCGATTGTAAATCAGATGTAACGGTAAAATTAGGACGCAGTAGAAACGGCCTTTACATCTTCATCACTATAGGCTCCTACGGATTCGCCCCTAAAGGGACATGGTTAAAGGAAATATTAAATTATTTCGAGGGAACGAAATAATATTTCTTAGAGATGTACAAGCCTGGTTTATCACAAAATATGTTCTGCTTCAATACTGACAAGACTGAAGTACATGTATTCAATCCAAGTACCTTTAAACACCACCTCCAATCAATAGTATCGCGACTGGAGCCGAGACTAATGTTCTTCTATCATCAGAAGTTTGCAATATTGGAGTTGTTTTTTACTCTAATATGTTGATGGGGAAACACATATCCAACAGTCCGTTACGTATCACCTTCGTAACATCAGGCATATTAAAATGCTCCTGACTAATGACGCTCTTCTTAAGAAAAACTACAATTTCAATCACCATAGCAACCGTTGCTTTACAAATTTAAATTTCCTATTTTATTCATTAAATTTAACTATACAGAAAGCTTAAAGTTTATTAAAATCTTTATTTTCATAGGTTTTATGAATATGTTTAATATCTGAATTATCTATTATTACCATATAATAGGATTATGTAAAAAAATGCTGAAACTTTGATATAATTGCAAAGCAACACTCTTTATCGTCCATAGCAACGAAGCAAAATCAGTAGAATTGCTGTACATTTTGTTATTGACCAAGCAAAAATCATGAGATACAATATATTTATATAATAAACATCTCTTAATGAACAAAGTTAATACATTGATGTTTAAGATACAAGGTCATCACCATAGCAACTGTTGTTATGCAAATTTAATTTTCTTTCGGAGAGACGAGCGCACGAGGCTATTAGAACAGTATACATTTAGCCCTAAGATATTCGGTTCTGTGACGCTGATGATTATTGGTGAATTCACACGCAATATCATAATTAGCATAAATCGAGTTAAAAGTTATTAATTTTTTTCAGTCAATGATTAATGAAGATCAATTTCTATTTAGTTCTTGTCATCCTGTTGTTCAATTTATTTCGTTTTTGTCGTGTTACTAGTACGATATTTCATGTATTAAGCGTATTATATTACATTTTAATTATGCAGCACTTCTTCATTGAAAATAGCTTCAACCTCATAAATTAATAGGCCTACTAGATTTTATCTTTATAGCAAATTTAAGACTGAAGCTGAAACGATTTCGAGATGGTATTGTACTTCGCTAATGCTTGGTGGTACCATTCTAACATTTTAACAACTAAGTATTAGATCGTCGTAGCGATTTTGTGTATAAAATATATGAACTTTAAATTGTATTTTTATTAGAAGGAGATACGTTTGAAGTTTAAAATACTAACTTCATTATGGGTATGATAGTGTGCAAGTGGATCTTGCTTTTTATTTCGCTACTTACGTATTGTCCAGTGTGCAAAGCTATACATCGTAAGTTTAACTTAATTAATATAATTATCACGATTATCATCATAATTTTATCACGATAATCATCACTGATTATTATCATCATCGCTGATAATTACCATCATCACTTTTATCAGAATTGAAACCATCATTATCATTTCATTATCATCATTAGTATAAGCATAAATATCATCATTATTATTATGTAGAAACTCTCATTTTGTTGTAGGCCTATTTGACTAGGGTGCAGTACATTTCAAGTGTTTTAAATAGTACTTTTTAGAGTATATGCAATGTAGAAACTCCAAGATTGTGTATAGTTCTCCAAAATCAATCTTTTTAAAACCCAAAACTCCATAATACGATGTTAGAGCAGGGAACAGCACTGTTCCCTGGTTAGAGTATTAAAATAAGCAACCATTTACAGTAGTTGTGTGGGCTTAAGGCCTTTTTACACTATGACGATTACAATCAACGACAAAAAGCTAAAAAGCTATTGTTCATATAGAAAATTAAAAAAAGTAAGAGAATTTTCACACTAGCACGATTGATCATGTATACGATAAAAAAAATTATTTCACAAATCAAATCAAATCACGTCATAATCGTGGGAAAACGATAAATCGTAGTAGTAAAAACAATTTTATTGTTTTCCTATGATTATGATGTCATTTGGTTTGGTTTGTATCGTTTTTTACACATGTGTGTATAAATTAAATGTAATCATACATCTAACATTTTACATATTATTATTTAATAATAATAATATTATTAGTATTATTATTATTATTATATTAATTGACTCTGTTAATTTATATC